TGTTGGTTTCATCTACAATGAGCTGCACAAGAGCTGTATCGAAAATGTTTTCGAATGAACTCACGACATCTAGTCTAGCCGTGTCGAACCGAGGACCATATACATTACAAAATGCTTCTCTTGAAGCAGTAAATGATTCTATATTTGCTTATATACTTATATACTTGCCGGAAACAATACCTGAATTTGCTTCTACAATTTCTTCCTGGCTTTCGCCACCACCATTGTCACTCTCATTATCACTAATCGCTAACGTTCCCGGTGTCACCAACTGTGTATAGTCAAAGTCTACACTCTCAGTGTCTGAGCTACTATAATTGTCACTTCCAATAATTCGTCTAGAAGTGCCATTTGTTCAGGATCAAATAACACACGACTGCTTGAAGTGTTCTTCATTGCAACACTGAGGCCAGTCGTTTATTTTTAGACTCCCAGGTAGTCGCTGAAGGGATATTCAACAGGGTTGCCGGATCTTCACACACAGAAATCTTTCCACAACAGAGTACTACAAACCTCATTGCGCTGGCATTATTCGTTACAAAGTTATGAGCTGTAGAAATTAGGTTTAAAGCCGGACGTAATACTACGCCAGGCCGCAACCTGGAGGATTTAAATGCCGGACGTAATACTACTCCACTCGGCGGTGAGGAGTTAATGAAATTCAGATGCACAAAATTGGTACCGATGGAAAGAGAAACTCTCCAAGTTTTGTTTCAGTACATCACAGGTGTTCAATGTGAGCCCCCTTGGTAACTCAGCACACATCCAGCCTGTAGTCAAGTTCCTCCCAGCACTGTTTCCTCGCTTACTGACAGGCGGCCAGTTGACTTTCTCTGACAGATGCAGCCCCTTTTCTTAAATTCGGAATACCACTTACGAATTGTAAGCCCACTGGGTGGATCTGCCGCAAACTTGGTTCGGAAATGCCGTTGCACACTAATAACAGACCGGTGAACGTGGAAATCCAGGACACAAAAGGCTCCCCTGTCTTCGATGGCAGCCATTTTCTCTCATATCGCCCCTGGCGGCGAAAAGTGTTACTACGTGGTCACAAAGTATACCAACATATACTTGGAGAGTTTCTCTTTCCATCGGTACCAATTTTGTGCATCTGAAGTTCATTAAACGTGAGTAACATGTGTTTCAAATCGGGAACTTCATTTAGACTAGCCCTGTATTTCTCATATGCTCCTGGTGGTATAATAGGAGTATATGAGCTTTTATATTAAAATTTTATTCTTAGTTCATTCCTTATACTTACATTATTTAATATGTTCCAGAAAGAATTTTAATTTTGTCTATTTTTCATTTTATTAATATTATTATTAATATTAATAATAAGGAACTTGAAAGGAACATTCATTGAACCATAGAAGCTAAACTTATTTATGGAAATTTTTGTGTTCTCTTCCTTCACGAAACTTCTAATTTAATACCGGATTGCATACTCTGACAGTTTCGTTTGCATTATCTTAGTAGACACATGTGCACAGAATTATTTGATATATTTCTAAACCTACTTAATTTCCTTCTGCAGTGTTAGGAGCTAATATTTTTCAGTCTGATAAGCTCAGAGTTTGGTTTGTATTCAAAATTAAATTCCAAAATCACCTCTCATTACTGTAACTTCCATTGCCTTCATCAGCGTCTTCAGAATGTACTAGAAGCTAATTTCCCCTTGTTAATGAAATGATAAGTCATCCATTTAGCAAAGTCCTTCTGTGCAGTTAGTCAAGTAATCTCCTGCCTTTTATGGAACCTGAAGGTGCGTTACTGTCTTCACAAGAGCCCATCCCTGGTCCAGTCCTGAGCCAGATGAATTCAGTCTACAACCCCTATTTCCATTTCAATATTATCCTCCCATCTGTGTCTAGGTCTTCTGAATTTCAACCAAAATTTTGAACACATTTCTCATCTCCTTACATGCTGCGTGCCCAGCCGATCTCATACCCCGTGATTTTTATCGCGCTAATAATATTTGGTGAAGAGTACATACTATGGAGTTTCTCACTGTGCAATGTTCTCCAGCCTACCACCACTTTATCGCGCTTAAAGTCAAACAGTTTCCTAAGTTCCCTGTTCTCAAACACCTTCATTGTGTTCTTCTCTCGGTAAGAGAAACCAAGTCAACGAAATAACAGGTAAAATTAATCTTTACGTTTTTAGATGGCAGACAGGAAGACAAAAGATTTTGAACTGGATGGTAGCAAGCATTCCCAGAAAAGTCTGATCTTAATTTTGTCATGAATACGATTTTGATTTGTTACTGTTCGCAGAAATTTCAATTCTGCCACATTTTCAAAGGATTTATTAACTACCTCTGTGTAATGATTTAGTCCTCGTTGATAAAACATGAACATGAACTTTGTTTCCTCTGTTTACTTCTAGGCCATCTACTTTACTAGCATCTAATAGAGCTTCTGTATTTTTCACTCGATAAATTAACATCATTAGCTTAGACCAGAAACTGAACATTGATACTGCATTGTTAAATTCCTTTGTAAGGCAGCTTTTTTTGATCTGTTACACTGAGGGAAACCCAAAATCAGAACCAGAACCATAAAACATAAATTTTGACCATTCATAATCATCTTCATATTTTTTCAGTGCCACGTAATCTCTGGAGCTGATATTCTGTGATTACATAAACTACAAATTAGCCTCCACCACATGAGAGTTTAAATATGCCTTCAAATTGCCATGACTAGCTCCTTCCATCTCACATTATCTAATCCTTGCATCTCCTTCACCTGACGTTAAATGATGTCTGAAGTTAATTCATTTACTTTTTACTTAGTCATCTCCTGTCATTGTTGGTCCATTAAACACAAAGTTTTCTGTAAGAATTATACTCATCTGAGTGTTTTTACATTATAATGAAACTGGAGCTTTATTTCGATCCATTTTATAAAGTATTATTAATAGAAAATGTGAAACAAATTGTCTGACTTTCTATTGTTCTATCATTACATGTATGAAATGTTACTTTTTAAAGTTAAGACAAGACGGGGAACAGCACTTTGAAAATTTAAAAATTGTTTTCTTTGCTTTGCTTTGCTTTTGTGTGAGTGTGTGTTTGATCATTAGTATTGAACTTTGTGGTTGAGTAATTACCACTTCTGCTTTGTATTTGGGAGGTCCCAGTTACAAAATTCAACCCGATTGATATTTTACGTGGTTTCCGATGTTCTTCCACATCCTCTCCGCCTGTCATCAGTTCCGTGTAAGCAATGTAGTCTTAAAGTTTTATTAAGTAAATTAATAATCAATCACTTGAGCCTTTAGTCTTGTAAGTTTGCTGTTTCCTGTCTTCCTTTATTTTTATTCGTATGTTAAACTTCTAAGTTTTCTTTTTGACTTAATTTCATGCTATGTTTCTGGAACACTTGTTTAAATATAAATGCAGAGAATGCTACATACATCATTAAAATGGTGGTCCTAATAAACGTACACCATTGACATATTTTTACTAACATGGAACTGCGCAGTCATTCTAGTATATCTGAAAAGAACAGATGATTAAATAAACTACACCACTTGCAGGATTTTTTGTCATGTAAACTGGAGTGGCAAGCTCAAAGAAATTTGTAGATTTTGTCAAATTGTGTCAAGTTTATATGAACTTTAAATTTCTTATAAAGGGACCGCGGATTAGACAACGGATTGGTTGATTTCTGTGCTGTTGTCTATCCTAGCCAAGAGTTATCACATCTTGCGTCTCATTTAAGATCATTTTATGGCTTTATCAAGCCCAAACCAAACACGTTGTGACGGTATCTTGTTCTCGTTTCAATACGTTGCACTGACGTGTTATTTGAGTCATTCATGGACAGGCACAGAAGAAAATGTTGCTCCATGCAGAAAATGGTATCTTAACAAGATTTGCAAACAGAACCTAATCATTTATAGTTTTTATACAGTGGAACCTCTACACTTTTCTGAGGGTTTATCGAAATGGTGTGAATTGTGGGGAGTGTAAATTGCAGGAAATGCAAAAACCATAATTTTAATATGTACATTGACCTTATCCCCCTATTAGAATCCTCAGCAAACTAGCAGTATATGAACATTTTTACGTTGTGTAATCCCCAGAAACTAAAAATATATAGTAATATATAATGCAAGTTAGAATCATTTATCAAACACTTTGATTTTTTTTTATTTCTTCCCCATACAGAATAAGCAACGTATACACTACATCGAAAATAATCTGATACCTTCCACATTGTTTTGCATTTTCTTCAGTTGTTGCACGATGGTTCTTGACTCTTGCATTCAGAGTTCATACTGACAATCCCAGTCCTTTTGCCATAGAAATACGAGTCCACTCGTTTGTCAACATCCCATATTATGATGAGTTTTTCGTCTGTCGTTATTCTTTTGAAGATGGCCATATTCTGGGTTTTAGCGCCATGTAGTCTGGCAGAAGTTTACCAATGTCTCAGAGGACCTTGTTGCCTGATTGCCCTGATGATGAAGGCAGCAAGGACCTCTGAGACATTGGTAAACTTCTGCCAGACTACATGGCGCTACAACCGAGAATATGGTCATCTTCATACTCACTGCCACGAGAACTTCAAATTGTACTTCTTTTTCATTTCTTTTTCTGTTGCCATTATGTCATATGTAATGTGCAAATTTAAATAAAACAACTGCAGTGCATGCAGCATAATCAGCTACCAGATTAAATAACAACA